CCTGTTGATCAAGTATGCAGCTGTGATCACAGCATCCGCCCAAAATATTTTCGGCAGCCCACAGTGTATCCTCATACTCCTTGCACGCTCATTCCAAGTTTTGTTCATCCTCTCAGCAATTCCATTTTGCCTTGCCTTACCAGGAACTGTTCTCATCAATCTGATTCCCTCAGCTGCACAAAATTCCTTAAACTCTGATTTGTCATACTCTCCTCCATTATTAGACCTTAGGCATTTGACTTTCCGGTTTGATTCTCAACTTTAGCTTTCCACTTCTTGAAAGTTGCAAACACATCTGACTTATGCTTCAAGAAGTAAACCCATACCTTCCTGCTGGAATCATCAATGAAGGTAATATAGAATCTGGATCTTTCAAGTGATGATAATGGATATGGTCCCCAAACATCTGTATGGACCATTTCCAACCTCACTTTCTTTGGCTCTCCGGAGTCTTTGTGAACCTTACTCTTTTTTGTTTGCCCATAACACAACTCTCGCAAAGACCCATATCAACAGACTTCAGGCCCTCTAATGCTCCTTTTGCAACCAACATCTTCATTCCTTTAGCACTCATGTGTCCAAGTCTGCTGTGCCACAGACATGAACCGGAAGCACCTTCAGCAACAACGACCATGTTAATACACCCTGCAGTGGTGTACAAGGTTCCAGATTTTGTGCCACAGCTACTACCATAGCACCTTTCACAATCTTCCACGAACCTTTCCCAAACTCTGTTGCATATCCCGGTCTATCCAACTGACCAACAGAGATCATATTTTTTTTGAGCCTTGAAATATATCTGACATCCTCCAATGTCCACTAGTTTCCTGAGGTAGTCTTTATGCAAACATCCCCCTTTCCTTCAATCTCTAAGGCTTTATTGTCAACAAGATACACCTTTCCAAAATTTTAAGATTTGAAATTTTGGAACACTTGCTTGCTTGGAGACGAATGAAAAGATGCACCAGAATTCAAAATTCATGATTCAACCGGGCTATTAACACTAAGGATTAGAGAATCCCCAATGTCCTCTGCTGAATTTATAGAATCATTGTCATCTCCAGATTTCTGATTCTGTTTCTTCTTTGGATTTGTACAGCTCGTCCAAAATTTCCCTTTTTCTCCACAGTTCCAACAAGTCACGTTTGATCTGTTTGGGAATTTTCCTCAATTCTTTGATTTTGATCAACCATGTTGATTTTGGCCTTTCATCTTACTTCTCCCCCTTTGGTCAATATTGAGAGCACTGCCCGATGAATCTCTCACTTCTCGTTTGCAAATACTTTTGTTAAGAACAACATCACGGATTTCATCAAACTTCAGTTTTTCAGATCCACGGGAACTGCTAATCGCAGCAACAACAGTATCCCAAGACTCGGGTAGAGATGACATCAAAATCAATGCCTTAATTTTATCTTCAAAATTAATATCCACAGAATTGATTTGACTCACAATCATATTGAACTCGTTTATATGATCAAAAACAGATCCATTCTCAGACATCTATAAATTGAACAATCTACGCATCAAATATACCTTGTTCATCGCCGATGGTTTTTCATACATGTTTGATAGTGCCTTCAACATATCGGACGTAGTCTTATCCTTCACGATGTTGAACGCCACGTTTCTTGACAAAGTCAACCGGATCAACCCTAGAGTCTGGCGATCCTTGAGCTTCCACTTCTCCTTCGTCATGGATTCCAGCTTCATTCCGGTCAACGGTTCGTGATGATCTTTCTAGTACAGATAATCTTTGATCTGCATCCTCCAGAAACTGAAATCGGATCCATCAAACTTCTTGATTCCAAGCTTCGAACTATCCATCTTCAGTGATCATGTTAAATCTCCTTAGCTCTGATACCAGTTGTTAGGATCGAATTCACACACACACACACTTGATGAATGAAGAACACATGAACTTTAGAGAGAAAAAGATGAGAGATCTAGAGAGAGAAAGAGAAAAATCAATACTTCCGGGTAACACCCCGTGAGTAAACTTCCACGGCAGTGGGGTATATATATTAATTATTAAGAGTATTTTAGGTTATAGAGAATAAATGGAGAGTATTAATCAGACTTCACAATCTAACACTATGTTGGTGGACGGATAGCCTACTACAACTACTGTAAGGGAGGTGAAAATTCTATCATTCAAATGAGACAATGTATGAAAAAGTTGAAAGTCCATGATAGAAAAGTGAAATTTTGGTTTAAGTTTGGACCTTATTTTGATATAACCTTAGGACTTTTGTCAACTGATATAGATATAAACAATATTATCCACAAAGTTCCTGACAGTAGAGAGGTGAAAATATTTGTGGAACACACAGATGAAGATCAATGGACCTACGATGTGGTTAATATTGAAGGGGCTTGACTTCAAGGTGAAGAGATCTTGGTAGATGTTGATGTAACATAGGGAAGTGATGCCACAAGTGACAAATATGAGTAATTTCATGGCTCTTATTTTTCCTTGGAAGGAGATGACAAGATTTGTAATAAAATTGTCGACTCTACTGTGAGTGGATTGGTGCTAATGAAAAAAAAATCAGAGACAACCGACTTAAAGAAAATACTAATGAGTTAGGTGTTGCCTCCGACATGGCTAAGATACTCATTACAGTCAAAAAGATGTTTGTGATGCATCAGATGATGAACTAATGAGTTTCCAAGGAGATTCAGATGATCATGATTCAAAAAGATTCATTTTTAATGCAAAAAGAGATCTAGAAGATCCAAATTTCAAGTTTACACTTAATATGATTTTCAGTAGTAGTAAAGAGTTCAAATGGGCAGTGGAAGTGCGTGCTGTGATGATGAAAAAAGACATCAAGTTCAAGAAAAATGGAAGTAGGAGGGAAAGAGCAATTTGTAACGTATCAAGCTGCAAACGGTTTATATACGCATCAAAGGCTAATGAAGATGAACCTTTCATGATCAAAACAATAGCCCTGATCATTCATATGGCAAACAAAGAGAAAACAAAACCTTTGACTCTAGATTTATGGCTAAGAAATATGAAAATGAGTTCATAATTAATCCAAGTTGGGGTGTGAAAGAATTTCAAGCTCATGTGATGAGGAAGTATAGTTGCACATTCGATAGGCATCAATCTTATAGCGCAAAAAAGAAGGCCTTAGATCTGATTACAACGACTAGAGAAGAACAATTCGATATGTTGTGGGACTATTTTGCAGAGTTAAGGAGTAACTCAAGGCTACATGTATTTTGAAGTTGGATGATATCCAACAACAATGGTCAAAGATAGAAAAGATTTTAAAGACTCTATGTGTGTTTTGCAGCTTGCAGACAAGGATTCTTAGCTGGATGTTGACCTATAATAGGGGTTGATGAGATAATTCCATCATTTTATGAGATAATTCCAGATGTTGCACACAGGTTTTGCGTGAGGCATCTGCATAATAATTACAAAGCTGAAGGGTTTGGAGGACAAGCATTGAAAAAAGTCCTATGGAAAGCTGTTAGGGCAACTATAGAACCTGAATTTTCCAAGCATATGGAAGAAATGTCAAAGATAGATATAGATGCCCCTAAGTGGTTCATGAATAAGCCGCCCATTCACTGGTCAAGAGCTTTTTCTATTCATTCACAAAGTGTGACATGTTATTGAATACTATGTGTGAGTAATTTAAAAGCGTACTTCTACCAGCAGGAGACCAACATATCATGATGATGCTTGAACCAATAAGGATTTATATGATGTCAAGACTTCAGAATAATAGAGATTAAATGATAAACCATAGACACATAATCTGCCCACAAATCTTATTGAAGCCAGAGAAAAATATGCATAAGGCTGTTGAGTGTATTGCCATTAAATCTGATGAATTTCATTATTCAAATTGAGGACATTCATCTAAGATTATTCTCTGTTGATCTTAAAGAGAGGACATGTCCTTGTAAGAGATGGGACTTAACGGGGATACCTTGTAATCATTCAATCACAGCTATATGCGTTAAGAAGGATGAACCTGAAAAGTATGTTCATGACTATTACATGATTGAGTAGTATATGAAGAGTTATTATCCATATATTTTGTCAATTAATAACTCTGAGCAATGGTCTAAGACGGGAAAGAGCCACCACTGCCACCCATATATAAAGCTCAGCCAGATAGACCAAGAAAACTAAGAAAGTAAGGAAATGATGAGACAATTCAAAAAGAATCAGATTCTGGAAATATTATCCTTTTAAAATTGTCAAGAAAGGCAAATAAAAAGAAATGTGGATTGTGTGGAAAAACAGGACATAATAGTAGAAAACTTCTTATTCTTATAAAAACCAATCAATCGAAGGTTCAACAATAACAAGTTCACCAGGAAGTCAACAAAGAAGGTTCATCTACACTTTATAATGAAACAGAAGTAAGTTTTCAAAATAAGTTGATTCCCTTCACTATATATCAAGAATAGCATTACTAAAAATTTTATTTCAATGTAGGTTTCAAGCACTCTTATTGATAGTATGACATCAGTACAGTCTAACTTCTCATTTGTGACTAAACAAATCGTAATTATCATTGACATTGTCTATTTATGTTGTCTGTATTGAACTTCACTAACTTAGTTTATTTTATTGTGTACTATAGGCCAGTCAACTTAACAAGCCAAGGGCGCAACCTCAAATCCCAATGAGGAGTTCTCATTCATTTAAAATAAATTAATGAGCATTCTAGAGAAGATACAAGACAACATTTCATCCAGAGAATGGGAAAACAATTTTACCCATTGTCAAGCTTACATGGTGCGCTTTCTCAAACTAGCAAGAGAGTTGGAAATAGAGCATATACTAAGAAGAAAAATGTTCCTTGAATACAAGCCAAACATTTTCTCATGATAATGGGTGCATGAGTTTAGATTGTTCTCTTTCCTATTGACTTTGAAGTTGTTTATTTGGTGACATGTTTTTGTTTCCTTTTAAAACTAGATGTAACTTAAACAATTTGGTTTAGTTCTTGATTTGAACCTTTTGCAGATGGCTATAAAAAGATCACATGCATCAATTCATTGTTTTAACAATAAAAAGATTGTTATATTTCTACATATATAAATATTTTTTAAAAGATCACTGGAGTATATTCACAGACTAAAACTTGAACCTTCTCTCTCCTAATTTATGTTTCGGCATCTACATGTAAGGTGGCTTGTACAAGAGTGAAAAGGGAGAAACCTGAGATTGTGGCCAACTCGTCATTAGTATCTTCCGCAGAATCTGTCTCAAAAGAACCACTTTCATTATATTATTCATACCCAAAGCATTCTGTTCACATAACTTAGCAGGATGAAAACCATTATCTTCACGCTTCAATGTTGGAAGTTTCATCTATGCATGATTATTCTCTTCAATAGTCAAAGATTATGTAGGTTTTTCGGCAAAATTACAGCTGCTTTTCTTTGCAACTCCTGGCTGCTCATCTCCCATATCAGAGATGCAAACAAATCAATTTTCAGTACTCTTCAAACCTTGAGCAAGAAGGAAACTCCTATCACTTTTTTAAGGAAAAAAAGAGTAGACTTAAAACATTTTCACAACGAGTTTGTCTTATAACATACAATAGATTAATGAAGCTCGCGATTCCCATAACATATAAAAAAAGTAGTAGTTAGACTATAAGCTCCATAAAAATAAGTTCACAACTGAAATGCACTTAAGGCATGGTGTATATATGTTCTCAAACACATAGCTCCATTTGAGAAATCAGATTGTCAATGATATCTGCATAAAGTCACTCACCATCATAGATTCTAGTCCTGAAAAGGGTAATGGGAACGTGCTTCTCTCCAATACCTTTCTTATTGGCTTTCATTGGATATGAAGCCCGGGATCTGACTCCGATATCATAGCCATTGATTTCGTCTCCCGCATTTACACACCATTTAAGTTAATGCAAAATTCATATAACAATCTTACATCAAACAACCCATTAAGTTAATATCTAGAATAAGTTTATTTCACTATCACACTTTACAAGCAATTATAGTACCAACACTTTGAAATGCATATTGTCTCTTCAAAATCAAGATAAATAATTTCACTCGAGCACATTTACTTATTTTTAGTGAGATAGGACATTTGAATGTTAATAACTATTAGTTCACTATTAATCAATCTTCAATACTACAAAGGGAAAGATACCTTCGTAAACGACAAAGATCCAGTTAAAGATCAAGAGATAAAGCAATTATTGGACCTGCAGGCTCAGACCTTTCATTTTCAGCATCTTAAAAAGCGGTTACAACAACTTTAAATGGGATACAAATAGATTTAGGCAAAATAAATCCCCCAAACTAATTCATCACACCCATACTCAATCACATCAACTAAATTAGAATTGTCATACACACATCATTTATACTTTAGAAGAAAATATAACCTTAATTATGTAAGTATATTACCTGAATTTGAAAGCTTAAGCAAATATAAGTGAAAATGTAGAGTTGAAGAACCAAAATCGCTTGATCGAATCGATAAGGCAAAATGGAAAAGACTTGGCTCATATCTTGAGTTGCGAAGAACTGTGAAGAAATCTCAAAAATTGAAACAAAAATTATTCCAAGATGAGCTCCATCATATATTTTCCTTTAGGTAAACCAATTTTTAGGAGCTCTCCATTTGATTTTTAAGAGAGTGAAAGAGATAAGAAGGGAGAGAACAACACACTGATATACTTTCATGTCATTCTAAGAGAGAGAAAGAGAAATTAAAAATGAATAAAAAAAGTAAAAGTAAATGCAAACTACAATAGTTCAAACAGTATGCTAACACATGAACCAGAATTATTTTAATAGACAATAAATAAAGTAGGATAGCAAATACTTAATAATACCAGAATTGCCCTTTTCGTTAATAAAAGACCTGTTAATAAAGTTAACATTCCTTAGTGATTAGATCAAAATCGCTCAGCTTAGTTAATTCAAGGTTAAATGTGCATAGTCAAATATCACAAGGACTAAAAATAGAATTAGGCAATAACACAGTGACTAAAAACGTCTTTCCCCTATTTGATATAATAAGCATATCAAACACTTATTTAAGGAATAAATCAAGAGAATATTTTTTTTGAGAAACTAGAATTATTTTTCCAATAAAGTTAAGATGAAACTATTTTAAAATTATAATGGTAAATTTTTTTTCGACAAATGTCAATCGAAAAAAAAAGAAGAAGAAATATAAAATACCAATAAATGAGAATAATCAAAAGATAAAGACTCAAAAATTTATCAACTATCCTAAATCATCCCTAAGATTTCGCAACCAATTTATTTAACTTCTCTATTTTCTCAATATCTAATCATATTCTTCAAACACAAAGTATCAGTTGTATTTATAGCGAACTGATATTTGTAATGTTATGTTCAAACCAATAGAATCTATCTTCCTTCTAAATCATTTGATTGAATGCAAAAGTATATGATATATTTGTAAAAAAATTGTCTAATCACTTTTTGTAAGTATAACTAATGAAAGACCCATTAAATTTTTTTTTTTGAAAGTAAGTGCAGCAGAAACTTAACATCATGTGTAATTTCAACAATTACAACTATAAAATAAATATTATTTCTTTGAATTATAATCAAATAAATTATTTAATGGATACTGCAATCTATTTTTTTCCTTTTCGATTTCATAAATAAAAGTATCAAACTGGTTTGTTATTAAGAGACTTAATTAATTATTTTTAAAAATAAAAATCTATCAAACTTAACTTTCGACGTTAAAATAACTAGATTATTGGTATTATGAAATTAAAAAAACTATTACATCATATAGCAAATTAGTTGGAATTCATGTGGTTATATAGCAACAACAATATCAAATAATAACAATAATAATGATTGTAATTAAAAAAAAAAAGAAGAAAGAATAAGATCTATTCAAATTTTAAAAATTCCTTTTTTATAAATGGATCATAAATTATTTTTGTCATTATTATTCATAGAACATTAGAATAATTATTATGTGTGTTCAAGATCTCTACATTAATAATAAAAAATAAAATTGTAGTAAGTATTATTTTTCTGTGAGTAACCAAAACTAATAGAGATCAAACATATTATTATAACAATAAGTATAAGTGCTAAAATCAATTAAAAACCTTGTAACAGTCATAAAAGTAATTTACCCATTATTTATTATATTAGAATACTAAAAAATTGGTAAGTTTCCTCGAACATTTAATCATTGTTAAAGATATAAACTATTATTTTCTTCTATTAAAAATTACATGGATTAATTACTTGAGTGAATTTCTTTTAAAAAACAATTACTTACTTTAAATATATTCTTTAGTTATTATCATTTATAGCATATTTTTTTTCGATATTCTGAAGAGAAGGATGAGATTATATTCTCTTAATAAGTCTATAAATCAATTTCGATTGGAGTGTGTAGGAATACTCTTCATAGATTTACCGATACTATGTGTAAAGGCGGATGTGATTAATTTCTCTTAATGGAGTTCATAGACTATTTGGTCGGATTATGCAAAGTTACTCTTGATGAATTCACCGCACTAAGTGCGAAGTGGAGGTTGCTTCAGTAAGATTTTAACAGGAAAATCTTAAATCACTTGGCTAAAAAGAATTCAGGACACATGGCCGTAAGGTGTCAAAGGATTTCGATTTTCACCGGAACATAGTGATATGCGTGTAGTATTTTTCTAACTTCATTCAATGATGCACTTGGTTCAAAATATGTTCACTAGTTAATGGTTCAAGTCCAAAAGACAACATTATTGATGCATGTTGCTAGATTAATAAATATTTTTTGGATTTTTCAAAGATAAAATTTCTTGAAACAAGTGTGGAATTGGAAGAGTTAGTGTTTCAATTAATTTTGAAACAAATTCATCCGTTTTGAATTAACAAATACATGAATGTGAGTTGTAACATTCATTTACTTTAATTCTATGTTATAAACATTTGCAAGAAGTTTTTTTTTAATTCTACATTATGGGTTTTTGAAAGATAAGTTTTTTGTTTCCAATTCATGAACCTAATAAATTCTATTAATTAAAAATCTTTTCTTGCAAAACTTGTTATCCTATCAATAGAGTTTCTTTTGGTTGAACATTTAAAACAAAAAGTACTTTCCCTTGAAAACACTTGTGAGACATTGATCAAAAGGTGAAATCACCAATTCAAGAATAGAAGAGCAACATTCTTTAATGCTACTTGTTTTGTGTCTTAGTTGAATCCCGAAGATAGAGTTGTTATTTATTCTTCCGATTGCTCGTGGGAGTGACTCCAACTATCTTCAAGAAACGTATTAACGTGCCTCTAAGCCAAGCAAGTTTTATTTTGTATTACCCGCCTAAACTTTATATTTCTCTATTTTCTACACACATAAGTGTTGACCTGTCATGGGAGGTGTTCTCACCTCCTCTAGGCACGTTAGAAGGTAATTTTAATTTAAAAAAACCTCTTTCTCCAACAATCATTTGTCCCACCCTTAAATAAATCATTGTTTCTTCTTCCCCACATTAACCCTTGTTCCTTTTATAATAAAAAAAACACGATTTCCTCTCAAAATTTAGTAGGGCTTATTGTTAATGTTATTATACTTGAAATCATGAATCCGGGATTTGTAATGTGCTCTAATTTCTTATTTAGGTCTCTAATTTAAATTTTTAATTTTCTCAAAATTCATTAAAAATGGCAAATGAAAACTTGAATAAGATTAGTATGGGTTCCTTCGATCATCTGTAGAAATTCATATGCAAATGGTGAAGGAAATGAAGAGGAGAAAGTATATATTTTTCAGGTCTTTTACGTGTTAAGAGGAAATTTGGGAAAAACATGAATTGGGAGTTGAAGAGGTGGGAGGACCCATGCGTGCAATCACGTGGACTATTTGTTTGGTTTATGTGTTGAGGGCAGCACTTAAGTGTGTAGAAAATAGAAAAATATAAAGTTCAGGTGGGTATAGGATACCCTTAAATTTGTAGTGTCTAGTTGGAATACAAGTATAAATTTGAAGGGTTTTAGACCATTATCTCTCTAATAAAAAAATTTCACCATATACTTAAAGATTTAAATATATATGTCATTTGATAATAAGTTTATGCATCTACTCTTTACCAGACTGTAACCCCAAAGGGATGTGAAGACGAAGCAATTATCAAACACCAAAAATACTAGTCATCTCCATCATATACCTACACAAATATTTGATTCTCCGAGAATTTCAATTGTACTGGCGGAATCCATTATGGCTAGAGCTACTCAAAACATGGTGTATAGTAACAAATATGCTGACAGAAACAAGAGAAAGAAGTCATGGGATAAATATATTTTTAAAGAATATGAGAAAAAAACCGTAAATACTGACTAACCAACTAGAATGTACTTTAAACATGAGACCAGAAAAAGGAAGAATAAGATGATAAAAAAGGATGAAGATGAGAAGCCAAGTTGGTTTTGAGATGTATACCAAAACCAAGGGCAAAGCTATCAAAAGGTTACACCTTGCTCAAGCCAGATAAGCAACATCTTCTGACACTCTTGTAACATCTCGTGACAAGAATTAACTAAGAATAAGCTAAGAAATCAAGAATAATTATTTTTTGAAAAAAGTAAGGAAATCTGGAAAATTTCTTAAGATTTCAAAAGTGAGTTTTGGTCATTTTCAAATGACCATGAGTTCCATTTTAGGAGGAGTTTGGATTATTTCTTTATATGGATGGAAAGCTTTTGGGAAGATAATTTCATGGACGCCAAGTTTACTAATTTTTGAGGTCATATAAGGGAGATATGACCTTCGGAAATTGGGTTTTTGGACAGGGAAAAGTCCAAATCCAAATTTGTTAAGGGTGTTTTGGTCTTTTCCAAAATCAATTATTAATTACGTTTTTTGGGTAATAAGTTTGAGCTCTAAGCTGATCCAATCAGTTTACACATTTAGAAAATAATTTAGGGTTTTGAAAGAAAGGAGAAAACAGAAGAAGGAAGAAGAAGACGTAAGAACGCCAAGAATTCGTTGCGTGGATTTCGTCGTGGGTGATCCCTATCAGGTATGTGAGATACTTTGTGTTGGATTACATAACCCACACACCATTTTATTCAATTCATCAAATTTATGGGTTATCTCATGTTAGAAGTCAAGATCTTGAAAGAAAGTTTCATTTTCTTAATGATTGGATTATTGTCTTCCATTGTTGGTGTGCTTCTTGTTTCTTTAGTTATTTTGAGTGGAATTCATTAGATTTTTATAGAACTAAGGGTTCCCAGCGTTTGATGAAAGAATTAGGAAGTTTGAAGTGTTTGGAGATGGAAAAACGAGTTGTTAAATTCGTGAAATATACATGGGTAGGGGCAGGCACGAGTACGTCAAAAAATGGCCTCGGTCAACTAGGGCCCGGCAGCAGTGCCCCAACCCAGCGTTTTTTGTCCAGTTTTCATATTTTAGCCTTTTAGTGTCCTTCGAAGGTACATTAACATCTTCCAGTGATTCTAATCACTTCAAATGATTTCTAAACACCTAGAAAGCATCCAAGAACTCAAATCATAATCCTTGAATCCATAATTTAAATTCAAGGGAGTTAGGATCAATGTCAAGAAAGTAAGAAGTCAAGTCTGAAGCTATGAAGTCAGTAAACGAAAAGTTTTCAAAGTTCTCAGTTTTACTTACACATTTTAACTTAATTTTAAGGCTCAATTTCAACTTAAGGAAAAGAATAGAGGTTGAGTTCTTTTTCTCAAAAAGGTATAAGGGAACTAAGTACTCACTAAGAGTTAAAGTT